TTTCCACTTTATTATCACTTTCTGGCCCATGTGTGATAACGTCCTTAGGGCTTGACTGCACTAACCAGGATACTCCAGGAATATCCTGAAGTATTCTGCCTCCACAGCTGCCCCAACCTGCTCCCATTACCTTGGCCTCTGTTTTCTTACCACAGCAGCTGCCTGCACAGGCATCCTGCTGGCCCAACATATCCACTGCCGCTGTGGGTCACTCACTTCTGAGATCAAAATGAGGTGCCCAATGATAGTCACATGCTGGACACCTTGTTCTGACCTCAGAATGATCATCCTGTGGCAGCAGCAGGCACACCAACTGGCCCAGCAGGACACCCATGAAAATAGTCACCACACTGTGGAAACAGAGGGAAGATCCGGAACAATGGGTAAGGTTTTTTAATTTGTTTTAACCCTGTTATTCCTGGTTCTGGTGTGGAACATGCAGGACATTGTCTGGATTGCCCACACCAGAAATGGATTTTGGGCTATGCATTGGCCAAGCAGAACAAGGACAGAAATGGGGGGTGGGAGGAGACAGGTCTTTTGGCCCATGAAGACAAGAGTCATGCATCCCATTTGGATTACTATGACATGCTCTGGCTTTGAAAAGTGTTCAGAAGCTTGATCCAAAGAGCTGCAGCCACACTGTTAACTGGGACTAGTTACAGGGAACACACAACTCTCTTACTGCTCCATTTCTGGGCACGATTTAAAGTAATGGTTATGATCTATAAAAAACCCATATAGCTCAGGTCCAACTTAACAGAAGGAGTGTACTCTCCCATATGATTCTATCCATGTTTTTGATATCTTCAGGGGAAACCCTTCTCCCCATTCTATCACCTTCACAGGGTGAGACATAGGAGAGGGTTTTCTTGGCAGCTGCCCCCAGACTCTGGAACTTGCTTTCTAGAGAGGCGAGACTGCTGCCCTCCTTGCTATCTTTCCATAGGCAGGTGAAAACTTTTGTTTCAGCAGACCTTTAAGGACTAATTATTCATGGGGAAAGGGCCTTTCAGAAAGTGCTGTATTCTCTATATTTGTTGCTTTTCTTTTTAAAATAGGTATGCTTTTAAATCAATTTTAATTCTATTGATGTGCAATTATATTTAATTTTGGTATGATGTGAAATTTTAGCTGTGTCTGTCTTAATGTTCATAAGCTGCCTTGAGTCACAGGGCTGGAGAAAAGATAGGTACTAATGGGTTCTTAAACAGATCAGACCAGGGCTCTCCTTGGAAGCAAAGATGATCAAGTTGAGACTATTGTAAATTGGCCACATAATGAGAAGGCACAGATCACCAGAAAAAACAATAATGCTAAGAAAAGAAAGAGAAGAAGACCACAAAACAGATGGATAGATTCAATCAGAGGGGTTATGGGGAATGGCTTGCAGGATCTGGACATGGCAGTGGAAGATAAAGATTCTTGGCAATGTCTCACCCACAGGGTCACCATGAGTCGGAACCAACTTGAGGGCAGCTAACAACAACAACAAAGGTATTCCCCATTGAAAAGGTTGTCAAGTCATGCCTGACCATAGGGGGCAGTGTTCACGTCCATTACTAAGGACGTTATCACACGGGGTCTAAAGCAGACAGAACCCCGTCCC